AGGCGGCACAGGCGGTGAAGCCGTCGAGCTTGGCGTGTTGGGCCCCCTCGCACCCCCTGAGCCGCTCAAACCACGTGTGACTTCTCTACCTGCCCTGAGCCATGTGGAGTGGGGAAAGACTCAGCCCCGGGCGTCCCTGTGGCCGTGACACCCGGTCGGATCCTGCGTTGCAAAACCGGAGGCGGTTCGTTCCAAAACATCCTCCCTCGTCCCCGCAAGTGCGCCTGCCCCCACCCAGCTGCAGTTGCGCTCGTGGGAAGCAAAGGCCATGGCTGCCTCGTCCTTGCCCAGACCCACTTTTTGGCACCCCCAAAGCCTTACCGGGAGAGGCAGAGGGGCTGTAAGGGTCCCTCGGTGGCCCCCGTGCTCGGTGCTCCCGCCACGCTGCCTGCGTGTTGGGATGTGCTGCAAGGGCTGGAGCCCATCCCGCGGTGGGAAACCTCCCCATTCCTCCTCCCAGCATGGGGCCAGCGGGAAGGAGGCCCCCAGCTCATGTTTCACCACTTGCCCGTCCTCTCCCTGAACCCAGCACCGCTGGAGCAGAGCTCTGCCAACACCAGGGAAGCTGGTTTTTTTTCCCCATGCCATCGGCAAGAGCTGGCTCCTTTGCCCCATCTGTCAAAGCAAGGTGAATAGGGCATTGCCCAGCCGGGCTGCACGATGTCCCCAGCACGCCTCCCACCCTCCTCCCTGAAAAATCACAGCTCCCTATCTGAAACAAGACCTTAATTCATGCGTGTCTTTGCTGCTTTCTTCCCGGAAAAGCTTGGGAGAACAAGACAGGGGGACCCTAAGGGTTGCCTGGACCAGCGGGGTTCGGCCGAGGTGTTTGACCACAGCAAACAGCCCTGGTACACTCTGATGACACCACGATGTGACACTTACAGGTTCCTGCTCCGTTTCTTGCGGGAAGTCTCGTCCCCTTCATCACAGCTGCATTCAGGGTCGGCTCCGCTCAGCTGGCAGGGAGGGAACAGAAAAACAGCATCTGCATCATCACGCCAGTGCATGCCCACAGCAGCACTCCAAATGTCACCAACCAGCACTGCCAGCATCCCCCGTGGTCCCTACACCCACACAGCCCAGAGCCACGGCATCCACCGGGCTTCTTCCCCACCACCATGGCTGTCTGCGGCAATGCAATGGGGACAAGCTTCTCTCCAATCTGGCATGCGAACCTGCCTCCCCCCGG